ATTCCAGATGACAAGGCATCTTCAGTGACCACCGTAAGCTGCTCACTTGTAACTGTGCTTTATTAAGTTTGATGACAAAAGTTCTGAAGGTCATGACATGGCTTCATATTTGTTCTGGCAAGGTATTGATGGTTGTAGGAGCAGGACGTGGACCTCTTGTAAGGGCTTCATTGCAGGTGCCTTATCTATCCTATGTATATTACTTTTGGACTAAATTGTTTATATCCAGACTGGATTTTACATGTAGCAGATCATTTTGATGCTCACTCTATATCTCCTTCTCATATGCAGGCAGCTGAAGAAACTGGGTGCAAGCTTAAAGTCTACGCTGTGGAAAAAAATCCAAATGCAGTCGTTACACTGCATGTGAGTTGCAAATAGGTGTTTCCCCCCCCCCCCCCCCCCCTCTTTTTTTTTCATGGTCTGCATTTTATATATTGACGTATCTGTGTTTGTTGGAGCAGAGCTTGGTTAAACTAGAGGGGTGGGAAAACATTGTTTCCATAATTTCAAGTGATATGCGTTACTGGGATGCTCCTGAGAAAGCTGACATTTTGGTATGCAAGTATTATCATGAATAATCATCTATTTGTTTTTGGGTTCTCTTAAAACCATTGCCTTCGATTGTATAATAGGTGAGTGAATTATTGGGTTCTTTTGGTGATAATGAGCTATCTCCTGAGTGCCTTGATGGAGCTCAGAGACTTTTGAAGGACGATGGAATCTCAATACCTTCATCGTACGTATACATTTATTTTGAAGTTTTACGTGAAAGGTGTCCCCCTCGGGACAGGATTTGTTCAAAATTCAGTATTGACATTTGGATATTGTGGGGAATCCAGATTTCTTATCTAAGTGCTCAGCATTAATAGTTTTCAATTTTCATTAGTGTTTCTCTCATAAAAGTTTATATGCCTCTTTTCAGGTACACGAGTTTCATCCAACCTGTGACTGCTTCAAAGCTTTACAATGATGTATGCTGGTGTCTTTGTGCCCAAGATGTCCCAATACTATCTGTTTTGAGGATTCCTTAGCAACTTCTTGTGGTTATGTTTCAGGTTAAGTCGCATAAAGATGTTGCACACTTTGAAACTGCTTATGTTGTTAAATTGCACAACATTGCAAGACTTGCTCCTCCCCAACCTGTGAGTTTTTTTTTTCACTCTGGCGCATTTGATGTTATTAACTTGTAAACAGTCTTAATTCATCAACTGTTTCACCACGACTTGATATATTGTTTTAAGCATCTGATATCTTCTTTTCAACTAAGATAGGTGTTCACGTTTATTCATCCAAATCGCTCAACTGACAAAAGCAATAACCGGTACACAAAGTTGCAGTTTGGAGTATCCAGTGATACTGGCTCGGCCATGATTCACGGTATGTGGTGGCATCATTTTTCTTTTGGTAAATAAATATTCTTGAATAATTCAAGAATGTCATTAGGGTGTTGCATTTAGTTAATGTGATTAAATTCTTCTCTGATTGTACCGCTGACTCTTGAATGATTATCACGTGCCATAATGTTGGAAATTTTAAAAATATGAAAGGTTCATGTTAAAATCCGATCAATACTTATTGGGCCTCCTTTTTGGGTATCATTTGTCGATATGAAATGAATTTATCCTGGAAAACTCTCAAGAAACTTAGAATGTTAAACATCATTTATTGTTACGGAGGCAAAAATGAACAATAAAAAAAGTGCTTGAGGCATGCACATGTAATGATAGAATGCATGACAGGATGGGAAAAGGCGAGGAATGCAAATAGTCAAAATTTGTATATTGTAAAATCTTGCTGAACATTGTTGGAAGATATGGATCTTGTTTCGGGGTTGAGAAAGCATTAGTGGGTTGGTTATGTAATGCAATGATTTTGGTTTTTTGCACCTGCCATGTTTAACAACCGCTACTTGAATTTGTTCTTTGAGCAGACTAAGATCAGAGTCTATTTATGCTGAGAAAAAACACGACACACATTTTGGTTTATTTACCCTTTTTCCTACACCTTCAGGATTTGCTGGCTATTTTGATGCTGTTCTATACAAAGAAGTTCATCTTGGCATTGAGCCGTCAACATCAACACCGAACATGTTTAGCTGGTGTGGATCCCTACTATCCTTTTCTTGTGCGGTTGATGCTTGTCATCCTATGTTTGCTTTTTCTTTCCAATTGTTAAAATGTTTTTATTTATTTTATATTTTCATGGTTATGCTACAAATGGTAAACACATGAAGCAAAGCATCGCTAAAACTTATTTGGTAGTTATATGGCTTACATTACATGCTGTTTATCATAGCTCAAACTTATGTGGTAGTTATATGACTTGCATGCTGTTACCATCTAGATGAAGCCGAAAATTCTTGGTTTCTTGTATCTGTAAATCACTGCACTATTTGACCTGGTATGTTGTTGTACTCAGGTTTCCAATATTTTT